GGAATAAGGTGTATTCTCTCAAGTTTGGCCCCAGCAACAAATCACAGGCCGAGTTTGGGTCTGTGTATATAGGTCCATTTGGGCCGGTGTATGGCGAAATTGAAACTTAGTCTTGTCAAGAAAGTTTCGTCCAGATTTTTTCCCGAGGCTGCAGGCCGAGGGTCACACTCAAGATAGAGGACATAGTTTTTCTCAATATACACCGACCTAGGCCGATAAAGAACTGACATGTTTAGGTTTTCCTGTGGTAGACTGGTTTGTAAATTGGTAACTTATTAAACAATTATTTGTCGTTGAATCAGCTTACGTACCGGCAATGTTAAATTAAATAACAGATTTATTTCTAACTACTTGATATTAGTTCCATTTAGCTCACGAGTTGAGTTCTCGAAAGTTGTTCTTCGGTGTGAAAATTCCGCCCGTAACCGGGACCAATCAGGTTACAAGATTTGTTGAATTGAATTCCGCCCGCTTAAGAACTGTGAATAAAATTACCAGCCATCTTGACCACCTAGCAATGAAATAGCAGGTGAGCTTTTGCACGAAAATATGATATCTCCAGTAGCAAAAGATAACCGTTGCTATGGTTCCATAATAAATCGCGCCTTTTGCAACGAAAATGGAATGGTTTGGTATTTCATTGGTGTTTATGTAATAAATAGAACATTACCTGGCCTTCTGGAGAAACGATACTTTTCTTCTCGCGTTGAAAAATATTTCACTCGTGCGCTGCACTCAAATATTTTTCAACACTCGAAAGAGAAATTCCGTTTCTCCGCGCGGCCATGCAATATCCTTTGCATACTACGTATGTTAATATGTTACTATTGAGATTTTTTTGAACAGCATATTTCCACAGTTTGTGACATATTTGACCAAATGAAGTACCTAAAATTTAAGTTATCCAAATCTCTAAAAATTGTTGATTAATCTTCGATTAGTCGTGGTCAGTTCAGAGTCCCAATCTAAACCTGGATTTATCTGTAAAGTAGGTCTGATCTTCAGCATTTTTGATACTGAGTTAAAGGGGCAGTACTATCATGATAAAGACTTTGAGAGGTCAAAAGTGAAAAGACATTGTTCGCTGATGGAAGCCTTGTCAATAACCAGTATATTTTAGAAGTCATTCAACTCGACACATTGACTGAAGCTATTATAATGGTTTTATCAGACGTCACGTACATTAATTTGATCTCAAATGCCACTAAAACGTTACTAAAGTTTACTTTCCCTAAAGAATCCAAGCCTGTGTTATAGTGCCCGGTATACTTTTCGTCTTGCAAGCTATAAGCGAAGGAAGTGAGCGAATAATTTTGATTTTCCCCTATAGTAAGTATCCTGAGTCTTCCTAAGGCTGTCAGTCTTTCGGCTGCTTACGTTTCAAACAAGCAAGTATAGCAGTTCTTCCAAAAATGGGGAAAATAGCTAGTGTTATATAAAAACGTACTTGTAACTTTTACAGAGAAGGTTGAAAACACAGAGGAATCAAAATTTTCCATAGAAAACATTACAGACTTGTCATAAAGTAGAGTCTGAAACAGCCATGTTTACTTTTGTAAAGAAGTGCTGTGCGATGCTGGCCAGCTATACAGAACTTAACACGGTTATATTAATCGCTATCAAATGAAAAGACAGATTTTAAGAATTGATACTTGAGGGTTTCATTAGTGACCCTTTCTTTCTGTTTGTTTGTCCATTGTACAGAATACCTCGTTCTAGAGGTTTTGCGAAACAGGATTTTTAACGCTAAGGTGATAAATTCGTTATCACAAGTGACACTAAGAAATTTACATAATTTATGCAGAGTCTCCCTCGGCTTTGCAATCATGTCGCGGCTGTAAACATCGAGGATTGGATATTTGGACATCTCGTGAAGCTTTTGGACTGTTTCAGCTCTAAGGAAATATGTGTCGATGCAGAAGTCCACCGATTTTCTGAAAAGGGAAAGAAATACACCGCTCTCAACAGGGAGACAAAAGTCTTCTTTCGGATGTCTAAAAAATGCCCGAGTGATATTCCCCAATTTTCAAAACCGCGCGTGTTGCGAAAAATGCTTGAAGGATAATAATCACAATAGCCTCCATTTGGCGCGATAATATGCTAGGATGTAAATATGCTCTTCAAGAAATATATAATTGTGCTCGAAAAAATATATGCTTCTCGAAGCTCTCAGTTTTACTCGAGCCACGCTCTCGGAAAACTGTTTCGCTTCTCGGAACAGATAATGTTCGCGGACAAATATCCGAGCATATTTCCGCGCCAAATGGAGGCTATCGTTTATTTAAAGTGTTAAGCGGCAAAATTACGATGTCTGACTCACTTGATGTTTTTTTCTATGTTCCTGTACAGGCATATTGTAGCGATGTTGTCGAACGGATTTCTGATAACATGAATTAGTTTAATTGGAACCACTACTGTTTGTTGCAGCTCCTGTAGACGTTGAAGTCCTTGTGGTGTGGCGAGTACTTTATTTGGTCCGCTCCCTTTTTTGTCACCAATTACCTACGTTAATGGTAAGATATAAACTGCTGAATTGACCTCTAAAACCTCATTTCGTTGATTATATATTTTTTTGCAATTTAGTTTGAGGGGAGGGGGGGGGGGGGGAATCAAGACTCTAAACAGTGAAAATCTTAAGTCTACTAAAGAATTAAACTGGAATTGCAAAATCGAGCTGACTATGAAAGTGAACTTTACCCTTACCATTATTTGATTTTTGTATTTTCCTTGCCAACTTCCTGGAATGTGGTAAGAATACCCATGTGAGTAGTTTGGAGAACGATTTCCAAACATGGCTTGTCTACGTGAGACAGAATGCAGCTTGGAAAAAATCCGGAGTCTTCGACTGTTACTTTCTTCATTTGGGTCATTAAAAAATCTGTTTAACTTATTCAGGAGGTCGAACTCGTGTGGAATGATTATTTCTGGATGAGAGTCCAAAATGGCGCCTATAAGACTGTGGCCACTTCTAGGATAACCAACAAACAACACAAACGATTCAACGGCATCGTACGGAGAATTGCGCTTGAGGTCCAGTTTCTCTGGAAAGAAGAACAAGTAGCTCAAAGTATGTAAATTAATTATATGATTCAGTTATATGATAATGTATATATATGTGGCGCAACTTGTCTTCGTGTGTGTTATTAGAGCAACTTCAGCCATGTTCGCGTGCTTTCTTTAGATGTAAATGGGTATTAAGAAATAAAACAAAGTTCCCGAACAGCGAAAGTTCACCCATAATCTTCACTGCAATAAAAAAAAATTATATACCTTGTAAAACGTCTAAAACCATGTGAAAAAAGAATTAGTTTCTACAGCATTGATTTCAGTAAATAACTAAAATTTAAATAACAAAATCCAGTGAAATTTTTTTTTTTTCAATACTTACCAGTATTTTCTCTATAGTAGTGAATTGAATAATTCTTGGTTAACGCTCGAGGCCACGTTACAAAGAAAAGAAATACCGCCGCCCCCAAGGCCACCACAGTCAAGCCACAAACGTAATTTTTATACGTCTTCATTGAGGATCACAACAACGGACTCTACCTTGAAAAAGAAAATAAAAAATGTTTTGTCTAGAGCCAACATACGTGTTGTTCCTTGGAAGGAGGGGACGCATATATAGATGATATCACACGGCACCGTGACTATATGAATTGCATTTTCTACTGGTAAAAACAAAATTTTACGCACGAACGCAGCGATTCAGTAAAAAAAGTGTTTCTAACACTCGAAAATATAATTCATATCTTCAAGCCACCGTGTAATTTTCTTTTTATTATCTACACAAACTGATTGTTTGCATAAACAACCGTGAATCAATATATATCCTCACCATTAAGGATAAGGAGAATACGCCACTCGTGTCTCGGGTGTAGTTTCATATGAATTTACGAATGGTATATTTTCCAGTAAAACAGTCGTGTCTATATAATAACTACGTGTATGACCAGCAAGAACAGCGGTGGAACCCTGACGTCTCGAAGCAAGAATCATGTCAGTGAAACCAAGCGAGTAGTTATAGTAGCAACTTATTAGAAAATTAATTCTCGCACGCAATAGATAATTCATACCTCCGCCGTGGAACAAGTCAAGATGGGGGGGGGGGGG